CCCCCAAAAAAAAAACAAAAAAAAAAAAAAAAAAAAAAGACCGCGATCGGCAGCGGCAGTTCAGCAGCAGGTCCTTCGCTCCTAGAGGGAGTGAGGGACCTGCCGCCCCCGAATTGCCGCAGGTGCTGCCCCTCTCCCCTGGCCACCCCAAGCACCTGCTTGTTAAGCTGGTGCCTGGAGCCGGCTCTGCCTTTAGGTGACTAAACTCACTTGGTACTTACGTTTTTTTCCTCTAGGCATGCACACTGCAGCCTTGCCCTAGGCACCCAAGCATGTACACGACTGCCTCACGATAGACATCCAGTCACCTATCTCCCACCTAAGCCCAAAGTGATTCACTGTTTAGGAAAGATAGACATTCAAATGCCCAAGTCATGTACGGGAGCCTGATCCGATAACCATCTTCCCCTGCACCCCCTTGGGGCTGTTTTGTTTCAGCTCCCACATGCAACTTAGGCAGCTGAGCACCTATCTTCCCCCAGTTCATGGATCACTAGCAGGGCTAGGTGCTGCTGTGAAGCCCGGACTTAGATGCACAAATCTTCGAAAGGTCAGGATTTAGCACACCCTCCTCTGGTCAATGTTTTCTACTGGCTAGCTTAGGTGGTTCCCCCCAACAAGCAGGCTTTGTGGGTCACAGTCTAAGGTGCCTATCTCTCTCCATTGATTGTATAGGGAGTCTATGCACCTAACTCAGGCTTTGTGGATCGCAGGGGTGTTCATGTGATTTTTCTAGGCATCTAAAAGTCAGGTGCCATGCCACTCGGCATTGCAATGCCTAACACCCTTAATAGATCTCACCCTACATGACTTAGGATCACAAGTCCCTCATCCAAGGCTATCTTCCAGTCTCAGTAGACATAAGAAAAACAACATGGAATGTGAAACAGATCAACTGCCCCTCTCCCTCATTTCAAGACTAATTTGCGTTTTAAAGCACACTGACAGCTTTCCTCCTCAGCACTGCTGCCACTTGAGATGTTTCTTGTCACTACCAGGGCTGGCTCCAGGCACCAGCTTAACAAGCAGGTGCTTGGGGCGGCCAGGGGAGAGAGGCAGCACCTGCGGCAATTCAGGGGCGGCAGGTCCCTCACTCCCTCTAGGAGCAAAGGACCTGCCGCTGAACTGCCGCCGCCAATCGCGGAGCCGGTCCTGGTCACTGCTTTTTGTTTGTTTCTATCTGTGTTGTAGCATTGAGTATGCTTCATTTCACTCACATGCATGCTGCTATTTTTCTTAAGCTGGCCATTATTTGTACACTACACTCCTGTTCCCATCTCTATAGTGTCAAGAGGAAACCCATGGACCTGGTACAGATATAGTCTCTTTACTTCACTTGTGTGTCTATTCAATAAACTGGAATTTCAAGGTCATGTTCTGACTTCTCTTGTATCACTGCAAACAAGATGGTCATAAAGATCTTTCCAAGGTAGAGCTTTAAAAAGAAATTAAACATCTTCTTGCAAAGCATCCTAATTAAAACACACAAGAGTCTTGGCAGTCTTCATGATAGTTAATATGTCATCTTCCTATCTCTTAAACCCAATAATCTGCAAACTAGTACTGCTGTTTTAAAGATTTATATCTACTATAATTTATGTCAACTTAGATCACAAACCTTTTTTTTTTTAAACAATATTTGGCAGCCTACTGACTGTGGAAACTAGACTGTTTTACATTAGTCAGCAGTACATTTAAATCATTCCTACAAAATGATTTACTGTGGTTTACAAATTCTTATATGGCATTTCCAGTTAATGATTAGGCAAAGTAATATATCACCAAAATGATTGGGCACATATGTATTTTACTTACATGGTTCTAACTCTGTATATTTTGGAAGTTTTTTTTTTAATTATTATCATTATTCTTTTTCCAGTTGAAAAAACAGAGATTTCAGAGGAAAGGGCAGAAGAGCCAATCTCTCCACTCTATTTTTTCAGAGTATTGCCTGACACACTAGGATTTTCTTTCGTATGATGTGCACTCCATCAGTAAATGCTGTAGGATGTCTAGATCTGTATAGACGAGCATTGGCAGGGGTCAGGGATACATAGTATTTCTACACTTTACTAAGTTTGGGATACATAAAAAAGCAAGTTGGAGAAGATCAATGCTTGCCCATTTTTCAACTAATGGTGAATGATCTGCTGGTAAAGGAAGAACATTCAGTGTTGGATCCAAGGCTGATGATGTTGACTATCCCTCCAGAAGATGACAACTCCTTCTCACAGACATTTATGTATGCTTCTAAGTAATTTGATGTGCCACATGTCAAAGGAAATAAGAAATGTCCTAACTCTAACCAATTAATCGGATTTGGAGGTTTCCCAGTCTGAGCACTGATGAAGAAGAATGGGTTTATGGACAAGACTAGACTTCACTAGATACAGTGGCATAAAATAAATTGTTTATTTTATTGTACTCACTGTGGGCCTGGTCTTGTAAACACTTAAGTATATAAGTAACTTTATGCATATGAATAGCCCCCCAAAAATCAGTAGGACTACTCCCATGTATAAAGTTACTCATGTGCATAATTATTTGCAGGATTGGGACCTGTGGGCCTCATCCTGT